GATATCTAGTGTTAATATACAGCAAATCTCTGAGGCTTTCTGTTAATAATAAGAATACTTTTGAGACCATCTGCATATAAATAGAAGACCTCTGTTATCCACCGGTGATGTATAGAAGATATAAGATTCTTTCTATTAATATTAAGAAAACATCTGAGAACTTCTGTTGATTTACACAAGACCTCTGATGTCTACTGTTAATATACAGAAGACCTCTGTTGTCCACTGTTAATGTAAAAAAGAGTTCTGAGATCTTCTGTTAATGTATAGAAGACCTCTTATGTCTACTGCTAATATTCAGAAGATACCTCAGGTTTTTGTTAATCTGAGAACTTCTGTTAATTTATAGAAATACTCTAATGTCTACTGTTAATAGATATCTGAGGTTTTCTGTTAATAATAAGAATACTTCTGGGACCATCTATATATAAAAAGATATATGAAAACTTCTGTTAATTTACAGATATATGAAGCCTACTGATTTCTAATGTAAACTGTTAATATAGGGAAGATATATGAGATTTTCTGTAAATCTGAGAGTTTCTGTTAATTTACAGAAGACCTCTGAGAGAGAGTATTTATGAAGGATAACCAACTCGTTTCCACAAAACACATTTTTCCTAATTTAAGTTCTCCAAGTTCTCACTTAGGCACCATTTCCAATTTGTATTTGTAAAAGCTTACTGAAAGATGCATTAACAAATGCAATACAATATTGCAACTTATATAGCTTACCAACCAACCATCTTCAGACCTCCTCAACATCTTCCCTCTATCTTCCAAAATACACGTTTACACGTTTCAATTTGACTTGGGGTTTTTTGCAATTTTATGGTTATGTTGTTGTTGTTTTTTTTCTTTCTGTTTTTCTGCGGTTAAATCTAGCATCTCTGCTATCAGTAGCAACAACAAAATTACTATTGCAATGCCATTTACAAGACAGACACCCACATATACCGAACTACATTATATAATAGACATCGACATCAGTAAGCCGAGAGAAAATGTTGAAAATTGAAAAATAGTTGCCAAACATTAGGTTGGTTAGCAAAAAGGGGGAAACATTTCATTTGGGTGTATGGAGGATTATATTTGGCTGATTTTTGGGTTACAAAAATCCCCAGCTAGTTTATGGGGCATAATAACTTCTAAGAGAATTATAAAATAGATATTCAGAGGCTCTCTGTTGTTTACATAGGATCTCAGTATGTTTATATACAGAATACAATTAAATACTGTTAATCTTTCTGTTAATCCGAAAAAAATCCGGGTAGGATATATTTTAATATGCATTAGACCTTTGATACATTCTGTAATCTTACAGAAGAACATTGAGGGTTTCTGTTAAAGTACAGAGCGCATTCTACACAAGACCTCTGATGCCTACTGTTAATATACCGAAGAATTCTGAGACCTTCTGTTAATTACAGATGACCTCTAAAATTGTCTGTTAATATCATGAATGCATCTAAGAACCTCTTGTTAATATACAGAAGACCTTTTGTATCTACTATTAATATTCAGACTATATCTGAGGTTTATGTTACTCTGAGAACTTCTGTTAATTTACCGAAGACCTCTTATATGTACTATTAATATTCAGACGATATCTGAGGTTTATGTTAATCTGAGAACTTCTGTTATTTTATAGAAGAACTCTGATGTCTACTGTTAATATACAGAAGATCTCTGAGGCTCTCTTTTATAATAAGAATACTACTGTTAAAATACTGAAAACCTCTGATGGGTACTGTTAATATACAGAAGACTCCTAATACCTCAGAAGACCTCTGATGTCCACTGTTAATATACAGAATATATATATGAGGTTTTTTTGTAAATCTGAGAACTTATGTTCCCATAGAAGGGGAAGGCCACGAACTAGATGGAAAGGCCAAGTAGAAAACAAAATTGGAGGACATGCGCACAAGACCGACCCGCTTGAAAGTCTTTTTTAAGCTCGACTTATGGAACAACCGTTCTGTAGCAAGCCAGCTAAGTAAGTAAGAGAACTTATGTTAATTTACAGAAGACATATGATGTCTACTGTTAATGTACAGAAGACCTCTGATGTAAACTGTTAATATACAGAAGATATCTGAGATTTTCTTTTAATCTGAGAGCTTCTGTTAATTTACAGAAGACCTCCGATGTTAATTAATTATTAATGGTGATATATAGAAGATATTATGATTTCTGTTAAGAAATTTAAGATACCTGAATCACTCTGTTAACACAAATAAGACCAAAGTGGACTTCTGTTAATACTCAGGAATCGACCGTGGGCTTTTCTAGACATTTGTGTTGCCTTTTTTATACAGAAGAACTCTGCGATTAATAAACGTCTGATAAGAAATTTAAGATACCTGAATCATTCTGTTAACACAAATAAGACCCAAGAGGACTTCTGTTAATACTCAGGAGTCGACTGTGGGTTTTTTCTAAAATTTTGTGTGGCCTTTTTTATACCGAAGAGCTTTGCAATTAATAAACGCTTGATAACATAAATTTTAAACCTTCTATAAATAACAAATTTATAATTCTGTTAATTTACAGAAGACCTCTGAATACTTCTGTTAGTCTACAGAAGACCCTATGTTAAAGGTACATAAGACCATTTTTCATTGTGTAATTGTACGAATGTTACTAAGGAAGAGGACCCTGAGGCCTTCAGAATACATTTCAAGGTATCTGTTAATATTTTAAAATATTGGTAAGATCTGTTTTCAATTCAGAGATTGGTTAGGAACCAATCTACTATTTTTCATATTCCTTTCACTACACCATTGAAGCCCACTGTTGGTATACTGAAAAACTAATAACTTCTGTTTTCCATCCTTACCCCCTGTAAACATAAGTTTGTGAGTTTTGTAAAAATGGAGGTTTGCCTTTTTTTGTTCCTCTACCAGCAGCAGCCAGCCCCAGCACCCTAACCAACCTACCTTATTATAAAGACTTAATTTCAAAATGTGGTTTATGTGTTTTCTAGCCTATGTCAGTCAGCTAGGTCGTAGTTCAGAATCCGTTGTAGAATTTACAAAGTTTTTAAAATAATAAAAAAAAAACTAGGCTAGCAAGTTGTAGAATAACTTTATTTAAGATAATGAAAATCCTTTGGCCTTGACTTGAATTTAAAGAATACTAAAAAAACAAAGAAATCGGAATGAAATGTAAACACATGAATTATGGTGTACCAGTTGCGAAAGTATAGAAATGAAATAATGATGCGACAGAGTAAATAATATAATCCATAAAAAGAAAATTTATATATGAAAATTCATACACCTGCAGGAGGTGTTTCATATATAGACAAAAACAGGTTTAGGTATTAAAAAATATTTTTTAAGACTATCAGAACTAAAACTATGGCTACCATATCCCCCCTATCCATGTACCAAAAACTACAGGGTTGATACAAGTGACACCTACTAAAAATGAGGTCATTCCAATGCTCTGATGGTGACAACCCCCTTAAGTGAGTTCGTTTAACGCTTTCACAAAATGTTGATGCACAGACCTTTAATGAGTTCCCGTTCTGAATGTTTCAACAATGGCGATGAAATGAGGCCATGAGGTGGGAGACCCACCCAGTTACACCATTGTCAAGTTGTGTCTTTTGTAGAGGAAGTAGATACACGATTGCCAGTGTTCTAGTGTTGTGTTCACGTTGACAGGACATGTCAGCTTTTGAAACTTTTCCCAAAAGTTTGAAAGTTTGAAGTATGCCGCGACCTCTCAATTATTCATGTGAAACTGGTCTGAATTTTTGTAATGAGAAGTGTCCAGAGCCCAAAAGATAAGGACGCGATGGAGTGATGGAATGGAGAAGGTAAACATTTCACCAACCAGCATTGGGACTTTGCGAGCTTTTAATGAGCAGATGGTGGCATTGTTCAGTCAACACTTCAAAACATTCACTGGTGACAAAGGCATGCAAAATTGCACTAGGAGTGGTGCGGGGACAATAGTTCATTAAGTAGTAGTTGCTGTTGTTGTAGTTGACGTTTTGTCTAAATGCAGTTATTTTTGCAATTAATGTCACTTCTCCAGTTGTTGTCTACAAGGGTTTCATTCTCTCCATTCGCTGGGGGGATGTCGTGAACATCGTTGTGCTTTTCTTTTACACTCGAACAGTTTTATGTAGTTGGGAGAATGGTTTGTAGTTTTTGCAGTGTGACGGTTGGTGATGGTGGGCGTTATAGATTTCTGCCGTTAGGGTCACAAATGTAAAACAAGGATTGGATTTCTTAGATACGATTTTTTTTAATTAAGAAACTTTAATAAACAATCTCAGCTGGAGTTTTCTTTTCTAATTAATTGGTAAACAGGCATTGGAGAATGAGTTGTGCAAACTATGAAGGAAATTTTTTAAAGTGATAGAAAAACAGAGTCAATTAAAAACATATAAAACTTTAAACAAAATTCTGTAAAAAATCCACGCCTCATATGGACCCTTTCAAAAATATTTTGTAAAAAATCCACGCCTCATATAGACCCTTTCAAAAATATTCTGTAAAAAATCGACGCAAATTTTAGACCCTTTCAAAAATATTCTTTAAAAAATCCACCCCTCATATAGACCCTTTCAAAAATATTCTTTAAGAAATACACGCCTCATATAGACCCTTTCAAAAATATTCTTTAAAAAATCCACGCCTCATATAGACCCTTTCAAAAATATTATTTGAAAAACCACGCCTAAAAAAATTCGTTAAAAAATATCCAAACTTTTAAAAAATACACTTAAAGATTTAAATATGCCTCTGGATATTTATAATTCTCCATAAATCGTGCTTATCCTGATCTCAGAATCTTTGTTTTTAATTTCATTGAAAATTCATATCTTTTACAAAAGTAAAAAAGTTTTATAGTCACGTATTTTTGTGAAATCGGATACTTTATGCAGGCTTACCAGCAGAACTTTTTATCAACACACATTTTTCGTTTCCCTCTTCATCATCCTGTTTTCTTCTTTTTTTCCTCTTCCATTCTTTTGACAGGTGCAAACTGTTTCCATTAGCTACCTACGGTGTCTAATAGAACATGTACGCTGCTATTTATTGGATCGTGATATTGAACTTATCTACTATACCATACGCAAGTCAAGTGATGTGCTGACACGTGACCCCATGCAATTGGGAGCCCAGGTAAGTGGAACATGACAAAGAAATACAAATAAATGAAGAAGAAAAAGAAGAACATTTTCTCTCATCAGAATTTTCGTGTAATTGCAACATTTATGTGTGTGTTTTCCCTTTTTTCATTCCCCCATTTTCCTCCAGCTAATAGCCTGGTTAAGGCCAATCAGTGAACATGATGAAAATGACACATCACTATTGAGTATGACAGTGCGTTCTGCCACAGCCTGGTGTGATGGTTATACGGTGCCATTATTGGTGCCGCTAACGGGTTGGCTGCCCGCACCACTGCCATCGCAAATACGCACAATGACGGTGTCCGGAACGGGACCGATACGTGACATCTGTGTAGCACCAACCAAACAGCATCTAATTTTGGCCACCAAATCCGGTGATGTCCAATTGTGGCACATTATGAGCAATTCATTGGATCACATATTTAAAGGTAATTATTTTGGGGAGAAAATTGACGAAGCAATTAGACATACATGCAAGGATTCCATTTTTCAAGGCCTATAAGAGGCGTGGATTTTTAAAAAATATTTTCTTAAGGTATGGATTTATTAAAAAAGGCGCGGATGTTTTAAAGAATATTTTTCAAGGTCCATCAAAAGCTTCGATTTTTAAAGAATATTTTTTCAGGGTCTATAAAAGGCGTGACTTTATTGAAGAATATTTTTCAGGGTCTATAAAAGGAGTGGATTTATTGAAGAATATTTTTCAGGGTGTATAAAAGGTGTGGATTTATTAAAGAATATTTTCAGGGTCTTCCCTAGGCGTGGATTTATTGAAGAATATTTTTCAGGGTCTATAAAAGGCGTCGATTTATTAAAGAATATTTTTCAGGGTCTTCCGTAGGCTTTGATTTGTTAAAGAATATTTTCAAGGTCTATAAGAGGCGTGGGTTTTTTAAAGAATATTTTTTCATAGTCCAGTATAAGCGAGGATTATTTGGTCTAGAATAGTGTTGGATATTTTATAGGATATTTTGCAGGGTCTAGTATAAGCGTGAATTTTTTGTCTAGAATAGGGTTGATTTTTTTTTAAATATTTTTCAGGGTCTATATTCCAAGAATAATTTTTCAGGGTATAGAAAAGGCGTGGATTTTTAAAAGAATATTTTTCAGGGTCTAGAATTGGCGTGGGTTAAAAAAACATTTTTTCAGGGCCTGGATTTTTAAAAGAATATTTTTCCAGTATCCAGCATAGGCGTAGAGATTTCAAAGATTAGATTAGCCGAGATTACATTCTCCCCCCGAAAATAACATGCTTCTCCCTTCCTATATAATTTTGTTAAGAGGTCACGTCCATTTGTTGGAATTAAACTAATTATGTACAGACATTTCCAGGAGAACACTAGTAATTTTGATAATTTTCCTCATTAAAGTTGTAAAAAGTTTTTTTGCTCCAAAAAAGGACAAACCTTGGATGGGAGGGTCATCATTAAATTCCCATCCAAGCGAAACGGCAATGATTATCACTAAATTTGTTGTTGGTTATTAAATTACATGTACACATACGCACACACACACACATGCATGTCTCATGCCTTTAATTGACTTCCGTTTCCTTTATCCTGATTGTAGTTTGTGTGTGTGCTCATGTGTATACATATATGTGTGTGTCTGTGTGTGTAATCAATTCCTTTGTCTAACTGTTGTATTTATCTATCCGTTGTCCACACATTCTTTTCCAGGTCATACAGCGGCGGTCACGTGCCTGCTGGTAGCACCACAATCAGAACTATTATTGACCGGTTCCGAAGATGGCACTGTGATTGTATGGAACGTGACAAGCCGTGAATTGAAAACTCACATTAAGTAAGTATGTCACAGTATGTTGTCCTATTTGGGTGACGAGGATGGGGGGAGTGGGTGTTGGGTTTTTTTGCATTTGCAAGTCAATATTTATATATTTTTCTTCTATTGTCCTTCCTTTTCTCCCCCTCTCTCTTCCTCTTCTTTAGATCCAATACTTCGATTGTTACAAGTGTAGCTGCTGGTGTTAATAACACAATGGTCATCAATGGCAGTGAGGATTCGACCATTGTTATATCGGATATCAATAGTGGAAAATTGGTAAGTTGCAATTTTGAAAAAAAAAACAGTAAGGAAAGTAGTAAATTCCGACGGGGCCGAATATATGATACCCTTCTCCTTTTTGAGTATATTCCACAGATGAATCCTAACAGACGTCGTATTTTTATAGGGCTAGTAAAAGAAATTGGATCCATAAACATGTCATTCTGCAGCCGATACTAAATTTTTCATTTGGTCAGATATAGAAGCTATATCTAAATCTGAACTGATTTTCAGGAATCTTAAAACACATCATTCCAGATCTAATTCATTACGCTGTGCCCAATTTCGTGCAAATCGAAAGATATATAGGGTCTTTGATGGACCATTTACATTAAATCGGACGAAAGTATATAGGGGGCTATATCTAAATCTGAACCGATTTTCACGAAACTTAACACACATCATTCTAGACCTAATTCATTACGCTGTGCCAAATTCCGTGCAAATCGAAAGATATATAGGGACTTTGATGGACCATTTACATTAAATCGGACAAAAATATATATATGGGAGCTATATCTAAATCTGAACCGATTCTTCCCAATTTCAATAGGTTTCCCAAGTTCAAGCGTGGATTTTTAAGGAACAACACAAGGCGTGGATTTTTTAAAGAATATTTGTTTTCAAAGGACCACCACAAGGCGTGGATTTTTTAAAGCATATTTTTTTCAAGGGCCAACACAAGGCGTGGATTTTTTAAAGAATATTTTTTTCAAGGAACAACACAAGGCGTGGATTTTTTAAAGAATATTTTTTCAAGGACCACCACAAGGCGTGGATTTTTTAAAGAATATTTTTTCAAGGACCAACACAAGGCGTGGATTTTTTAAAGAATATTTTTTCAAGGACCACCACATGGCGTGGATTTTTTAAAGAATATTTTATCAAAAGACCACCACAAGGCGTGGATTTTTTAAAGAATATTTTATCAAAAGACCACCACAAGGCGTCGATTTTTTAAAGAATATTTTATCAAAAGATCACCACAAGGCGTGGATTTTTTAAAGAATATTTTTTCAAGGACTAATTAAATGAAATAACTTTGCTTCATTTAGCTTTGTATCATTCTTCTTCTTCTCTACACTTTCTTTCCTCCCACAAATCTCAGATCACATCTCAGTAAATAATTCATTGTCACCTGACCGATTGACTGCGTGACTCCCTTTTTGCCTACATATTCCAAGAAATTTTATCGCATGTTGAATATGCGTCATTTCCAAAAATAAGCATAGCCAGGCGTCAAGTGACTTCGGTTTTAAAACACTTGATTTGTGGCGGTGGGTTCTGTTCGGCATTCCATGAAATCAGGTCTCTTCAATTCTCGAGATGTTTATCGTTTAAATGAGACACCTGCGTATCACTTTTGGTGGTAAACTTATTCCCATTTCGGGGTGGGTAGTGAAATATGGTTTTCTTTTCCACCGAAAGCATTCGCACTGGCATTTTTCAAATTCCTTGGAGATATTGACAAAGTGATAACAAATGTTCGGCAAGTTATGTCGTTTCGTGTGATACAAATTTTCTAAATAAATTTATTTGAAGTACACAAAATTTTAAATGACAATTTTTCAAAAAAGAACTGTAGAGTAAAATTCGGACGGGTCGGAAAAGGAGCCTATAATCCGGTCTACACCTATAAATTGATCGTATAATTACAAATTGTTTGAATACTTAACAAATGTTCCCCTTGAGCATTGGAGATTGCGGGTTTGGTTGTTTTCCCCCCTTAATTTTTTTACAAACTAGAACTCGAAAGTAAAAGTTTAAAAATCCTTTGTTTTCACATTCTTCATCGTTTCCTCACACCTCAAATGAAAGAATTTCCATGAAAAATCTTTGCAAATTTTTCCTTTTTTCCATTTCAGTTCTTTAAATTGCTTTGATTAAGTTTATCACTTTTAGTTGTCTTCATTTTTTCTTCGTTTCATTTAATTTTGTGAAACAAAGTGACTGCCTGACGCTGGCTGGCTGATGGACGGACGAACTCAGAGACTGGCTGAATGTGTCGTCTAAGTGTTTTTAGTTACTTTTCTTTTGATTCCTTTTGTCTTAAGGCAAAACAATGACAATTCCAGTTTATTATGACACAGACAATGATGGCAGCAGTTGCCGTCTCTCCATCACATAATCTCCTCAGTCTTATGCACACAGAGAGAAGTCAGTCATTTGGAAATGTCAAACAGATCTCCACTCGAGATAATGTATTTTTATTTTCGGGTAATAACATTAAAGACAATTGTCTTAACTAAACTCCATGAAATGTCATGAAGATAAACCAGCCAGCCAGCCAAACAGCCATCGAGCGAGCTAACGTGTTTAAATGGATTTTGTGAGGAAGATGCTGGCACTTTGCTGGAGGAGGTAGCTTTTAGTTAAATGGGGTTAAATATGGGAAAACATTTTTAGATATTTAAATTTAAGAAACAGAGGAAGTCTTAAAATCCCTAGGTTTCAAGAACTTTTTGTGATAGGCATTGAAAAAGTATTCCTTAAAAAATCCACGCCTCTTATGGCCCCTGAAAAAGTAGTCTTTAAAAAATCCACGCCTCATATGGACCCTGAAAAAGTATTCCTTAAAAAATCCACGCCTCTTATGGACCCTGAAAAAGTATTCTTTAAAAAATCCACGCCTCAAAGAGACCCTGAAAAAGTATTCTTTAAAAAATCCACGCCTCATATGGATCCTGAAAAAGTATTCTTTAAAAAATCCACGCCTCATATGGATCCTGAAAAAGTATTCTTTAAAAAATCCACGCCTCATATGGACCCTGAAAAAGTATTCTTTAAAAAATCCACGCCTCATATGGACCCTGAAAAAGTATTCTTTAAAAAATCCACGCCTCATATGGACCCTGAAAAAGTATTCTTTAAAAAATCCACGCCTCATATGGACCCTGAAAAAGTATTCTTTAAAAAATCCACGCCTCATATGGATCCTGAAAAAGTATTCTTTAAAAAATCCACGCCTCAAAGAGACCCTGAAGAAATATTCTTTAAAAAATCCACGCCTCATATGGACCCTGAAAAAGTATTCTTTAAAAAATCCACGCCTCATATGGACCCTGAAAAAGTATTCTTTAAAAAATCCACGCCTCATATGGACCCTGAAAAAGTATTCTTTAAAAAATCCACGCCTCATATGGACCCTGAAAAAGTATTCTTTAAAAAATCCACGCCTCATATGGACCCTGAAAAAGTATTCTTTAAAAAATCCACGCCTCATATGGACCCTGAAAAAGTATTCTTTAAAAAATCCACGCCTCATATGGACCCTGAAAAAGTATTCTTTAAAAAATCCACGCCTCGCAAAGACCCTGAAAAAGTATTCTTTAAAAATCCACGCCTCATATGGACCCTGAAAAAGTATTCTTTAAAAAATCCACGCCTCATATGGACCCTGAAAAAGTATTCTTTAAAAAATCCACGCCTCGCAAAGACCCTGAAAAAGTATTCTTTAAAAATCCACGCCTCATATGGACCCTGAAAAAATATTCTTTAAAAAATCCATCCTTGAAAAAATACTCTATAACAAAATCCTCGCCTAAGTCAGCTCTTCAAAAAAATTTTTATTAAAGAAAAGTCCACCTCTCTGATTTGCATGGCACTTCCATGGCCCATGCGCAACAAATTTGTTTTGCCAAACTTTTCTTTGACATTTAATTATTTGAATAACTAATACTTTTCGTAATTCAATTAATGTCTGCTAATATTATGTTACACATACCCACACACATATATTAATTAGTTAATCACCGTGATTGTCACTTTTATATAATTTTTCTTAATTCGTATTTCACCTTCTTCGAAAAGTTTTCTAATTTTAACAAAACATAAAGTTAATTATTTTGTGACACATTAAATCGTCTAATGTGGTGGATGGCAGGAAAATCGTGGAAATACCTTTGTTTTGTGTTTTTGACAAAAGACTTTGTACACACACACACACCGCCAATTCACATTGGGCGGATTAAGTGACATTTACCCAGAGTGGCATTTTTTGGTTCAGCGGTGTGGCACGAACATGTCTGTACACGACAAGGTAGTTACTTCACACACGGCAACACACACAGCAATTTTTTTCATATAATTTAAGAATTTTGTGGTTTTTTGAGCAAAGCGAAAGAAGAATCGGTATTTATTTTTTACGTAAATTATTTGGTAATGATTTTCTTGCATGTAAAATAATAATAAAATATTATTTTTGTTTCATAACTATTTTGCATTACAAATTATGTAGAAAATTCGGTTATTTATGAAAATTATTAAAAAAAATGTATTCACGAAAATGTGGAGATTTTTAGAGAATATTTTTAAGGACCTGCAGAGGCGTTTAAGTGAGGCGTGAATTTATTAATAAATATTTTTCAAGGCTAATTACTAGGCGTGGATTTATTAAATGAGGCGTGGATTTGTTAAAGAATATTTTTTCAAGGGCCAACTGAGGCGTGGATTTATTAAAGAATATTTTTTCAAGGGCCAACTGAGGCGTGGATTTATTAAAGAATATTTTTCAAGGGCCAACTGAGGCGTGGATTTATTAAAGAATATTTTTCAAGGGCCAACTGAGGCGTGGATTTATTAAAGAATATTTTTCAAGGGCCAACTGAGGCGTGGATTTATTAAAGAATATTTTTCAAGGGCCAACTGAGGCGTGGATTTATTAAAGAATATTTTTCAAGGGCCAACTGAGGCGTGGATTTATTAAAGAATATTTTTCAAGGGCCAACTGAGGCGTGGATTTATTAAAGAATATTTTTCAAGGGCCAACTGAGGCGTGGATTTATTAAAGAATATTTTTCAAGGGCCAACTGAGGCGTGGATTTATTAAAGAATATTTTTCAAGGGCCAACTGAGGCGTGGATTTATTAAAGAATATTTTTCAAGGGCCAACTGAGGCGTGGATTTATTAAAGAATATTTTTCAAGGGCCAACTGAGGCGTGGATTTATTAAAGAATATTTTTCAAGGGCCAACTGAGGCGTGGATTTATTAAAGAAT